GTCAGCTGCAGAAGCTACCAGGGAATCAAAGGAAAACGGCCTGAATTCAGTGAGACCCCGTGTTTCCTCGAATGTCCCATAATAATTACAGGGAGCACCCAGAGTCCCCATTCTTTGCATCTAACCCAGGGGTGGGCAAACTTTCTGACTCGAGGGCCACAATGGGTTCTTAAACTGGACCGGAGGCCGGAACAAAAGCATGGAGGGAGTGTGTGTGTGAACTAATATAAATTCAAAGTAAACATCATTACATAAAAGGGTACGGTCTTTTTTTTTTTTAGTTTTATTCATTTCAAACGGGCCGATCCGGCCCGTGGGCCGTAGTTTGCCCACGGCTGGTCTAAGGTGTCTCCCTCTTTTGATTTCCCCGAAAACAGGCAGTCCTCAGGTTAGGTCGGACTCCACGCACGTCGTTTCGTGGTTGCGTCGCCATCTCCCATTTATTTATTAAAAAAAATAAAGTTCTGTCATTTCGACGTCTGTGCGTATGTGCTTTATGTTTTTATTATTTATTTACCACAAGGAAAGGTCAGGAATTATCTTTCTTTTACATTTTTTTACTGTTTCCCTTCATGGCTGCTGCGCGTGGGCTCCATGTGAGCGACGCAGGTGCTTACATAGGTGGGTTCCGCCTTGCGGCGAAAATCCCGTTACGTCACTGTAGGAACGGATCTCCGACGTTGCCCGAGGACATACTGCACTGCTTTTCTCACTTTGAAAAGTGGGTGTTTTTTTTCCTGAAGTCAAACACTTCTGGGTGCTTCTGCCAGAGGCCCTCCTGGCCACACAGCAAGAGGGTCCCCTGCTCCACGCGCCCTCAGCCCAGGCACCCTCCCCACCAAGCGCCCGTCTTAAACACCAGGTTCTTCCGGACACTGGGGACAGGCGGCCGTGAGGGCACCAGAGGTCCTGGGCCTGTGTCGTGAGCACAAACAGAGGGAAGTTTCTCAAAACTCACCCTCCACCGTCAGAGACACTACGTCTCCAGATCACTAACTCCAGGGTCCCCAACCTCCTGTCCGCACCCTGTCCTGCCGGCACCCGGTCTCCCCCGCCAGCTCTCCAGGACACCTGAGAGTGACTGAGTCAGTCCGGAGGGTGAGGACGGGCCCCGGAGGGCCTGCAGACCTCAGGCCTCCAGGCCAAGCCAGGTCACCACCCCCTCCTCTCGCCTCTATCACAGGGCAGCGCCTGCGGAGCCCAAATCCAACCAGCACCTCCGCAGCCAGCTCGGGCTCACGGGGTAAATGCTCTTGGGCAGCATGAGCCCCTGTGTGGTTCAGGGAGCCCAGCCCAGCTCCGCCCAGAGCGCTCGGACCCGCCAGCTGCTCAGGCAGCCCAGGCCGCGCGCGCAGGGCGTGAGGCTGCCACGGCCGACAGCTGCCTCCCGTTCCCGGGAGTGAAACTGACAACGCAGAGCTCCTGGGACAGCTTCGGCTCAGTGGCCAAACGGGACCGGCCAGGCCGCCTGGAAAAACTGCTTTTCCCAGGAATTCTACTCAGAACCGAGCTGCTGACTGCGCAGCAAAGTAGGAATTCCCGAGAGCCAGCCGTCCGCGTGCACTAACTGGGAACACGTGCAAACTGTTCTCCCCGCAGCAATGACATCATCTCGGATTCACAAACAGGAAACGGACGATGACAGCAGCTCCCCGTCCGCACGGCCCCACCCCGTCCCCGAAGGGCCTCCACTCGCTCGAACCAGTTTGCACGTCCGTCTCTCATTCACGTTGGGGGTGGGGCACCAGGGGCACGGTCAGTCTCACTGTGTCCCAGTGACGGGCACAGGCCGGGGCCGGGCGGACGGACAGTCGCGTGGCCGCAGGAGGCCCGCGCGCGGGTCCTGGCATGCAGGTGCCCCACGCCCACACGCGCAGCATGCGTCATGCACAGGGCACAGGGTCCGCTCCCTGCCAGGGCACGGACGGACCTCCCTAAGCAGCAGAGGGCACATGCGGGCCACTTACAGTTGTTCTAGGGAGGAAAGTCCCTGAAAGGCTTGCCTGTCAATCGCCTGGACCTCATTCTTGTACAGATAGCTGAAACAAGAAAGGAGCGTTAGCGGCGTCGGGTCCCCTGCGCAGGGACTGCAGACTCGGCGGGCGGGACACGGGGGCACCGCACGGGAATGCGGCTCCTCCCGCCCCGCCCAGGTTCAAGGGCAATCTCAGGGAATCAGGCGGAGCTGCCCAACCACACCTGCCTCTTCAGGAAAGTGACAGGTGCCAGGCGGACGGGGCTCAGGGGTTGAGCATGGACCTAGGAACCAGGAGGTCAGGGCTCGATTCCCGTCGGGAAACACGCCCGGGTGGCAGGCTCAATCCCCAGTGTGGGGCGTGCAGGAGGTAGCCGATCCACGATTCTCTCTCATCACTGATGTTTCTATCTCTCTCTCCTGCTCCCTTCCTCTCTGAAATCAATACAAATACATATTTTTTAAAGAAAGCGAGAGTAAGGAATCCTGGGAAGGAGTGCATAACCATGTGGGCTCGGCTGCTCAGTGGTTAGAGCGCTGGCCCACACCCTGAAGGGTCGGGGGTACCTGGGTTGCAGGTTCGATCCCTGGCCCGGATCGAGGCACACGTGGGATTCAACCAATCAATGTGTCCCTCTCCCCCTCCCTCCATCCCTTCCACTCTCTAAAAATGAATGAAAATGCGTCCTCCCGTGAGGATGAACAGACAGACAGACGGACAGACAGAAAACACTCGGACCAAACCAATACGTGCAAACGCATGTCAGATAAAACGCTGGGACGCCGCTGGTTTGCACAGGGTCACCTTCCAAGAACCAACTGCAAACACGTGTTGGAGTGAAACCACCGTTGGGAAGGGAAGAACTAGGGCGCGAAGGTCTCTGCCTCCCAGGAGTCACTGGGGCCCAGCAGATGCGGCCACGCACTGGGCGCTGACGGGCCACGGGCCACAGGACGCTGCAGAGCCTTCTCAGACACGGCAGCCAGACACACGGCCCCTCAACCACTGCCCCGCCCCCACGCCCAGCGCATGAGGACAGCGGCCTCATGGGTGCGCTCGGGGAAGACAGAGGCAAGAAGCTGGAGCAGGGGCCTGAGCGGGAGCGGTCAGGGGACGAGGTCTGAAAGGACCATTGGAAAGAGATGGAAGGGAGAGCGAGTGTCCCAAATGCCTTCACATCAAATATATCTGCAAAGTTAATGATACATTGCTCTTAAGAAGTTCAAACTGAATGTGACACGAAAACACGCGACACACGCACTGGGATGCTGCTCTCCAGGGACCGGAGCTCACTTCTGGAGCGCACAGCACTTACAATGATAATAAAAAATAGCAGAGCAGACACACAAACAGAAATGACAAAACTAGACGGGAGGCCTGCCCCGCGTTTTAAAAGTGAGCAATAAGGCTCAGTGACAGTCACGAAGAATTAAAGGAATTAACACACTCCACCGAAAGGGGCGAAGAGAAACATTGACACATCACACTTCGAATATCTTCACTGAGGAAAATGTATTGTAATGAACGGAGTCCAAGTTAGCTCTGTAGTTAAGAGCCACTGACATCTAACGTCAAGAGTATTCCAGCCCGGCCGGCGTGGCTCCGTGGCTGAGCGTCGACCTATGAACCGGGAGGTCAGGGCACAGGCCCGGGTTGTGGGCTTGATCCCAGAGTGGGGCGTGCAGGAGGCAGCCGGTCCATGATTCTCTCTTGCCATTGACGTTTCTATCTCTCTCTCCCTTTCCCTTCCTCTCTGAAATCAATTTAAAAAATATTTTTAAAAGATCATCCTTAAAAAAGAACACACAACACCAATTCTAACATGTACACCAACACCAACAAAATGACATTAAAAACCGACGTAGCTTAAAGGTGCTCAGATTCACGTATAACATAACCCCCCCAAAGTGATGTACAGCCCTCAACCAGGGAGCCACGTTCTAAAGGATATTTTCCCCAAAGCACGTGGCACAGCCGTCTAACCTGCCGGACCAGGAATGCGCCCGGAGTGGGTTTTCTTTTCGTTACAATTTTACAGTCCGTGTCCCTGAAGCAGGAAAACAGCGCCTCCCCAAGGTCATATCCTAAACTGCAAACCCACGCGGGCGGGCCGAAGGCTCCCACGCCAGTAAATCAACTACAATCTATTTCCAAATGCGACTGCATAGCAAGGAGCGGTGACGTCACCCGGAGGCAGGTGGGGAAGTCGCGGAGCAGGGACACGCCCAAGGGCTGCCGTGCTCCTGCAGGAAAGCCGTCTGTCCTGGAAGCTGCTGGTTCACGGCCGGGCACCGGCAGTCCCACCCCAAGTGGTGGCACGACTCTATCCAGAGCGATTTCCCGAGGCCCCGGATTCTAATTTCACTCAACCTATGTCCTTAAGGCTTAGCAGCAAACACACAACGAATGGCCCTCTCTCCTGAGGACCAGGCATCCCCCGCTCCCCCTGCACATGTCACGCTCCTCAGCGAGAGCTCCGTAAAGCGGGCGTCTGTGCAGGATTCACAGCGGACGGACGGAGCTCGGCGCGAACAGCCCGCCGTGAACGGCAGACGCCTCGGAGCGAAGCGCTGATGGACTTACAGATACTTCAGGTTCTCCAGGTCCTCGAAGGCCCCGGCCGGGAGGCTCTTGATCTGATTGTTGTTGAGGAGCCTGAGAAGGGAGGTCTCCGTCAGACTCACACTCTCCTTGCGCCAGGGAGACGTCCCGCCCCTTGGAAAAGCGGCCCTGGGTTTGCACCTCGGCCAGGACTGTGGTCACCATGGAAACAGGGGACCCCGGGTGTGTGAGGATGCAGGTGTGCGAGGACCCCAGGGGTAAGAGGATCCCGGGTGTGCGAGGACCCCGGGTGTGTGGGGACTGAGGGTGTGTGGGAACCCCGGGTGTGCGAGGACTGAGGGTGTGTGGGGACCCCGGGTGTGCGAGGACTGAGGGTGTGTGGGGACACCCCGGGTGTGCGAGGACTGAGGGTGTGTGGGAACCCCGGGTGTGTGAGGATGCAGGTGTGCGAGGACCACAGGGGTAAGAGGATCCCGGTGTGCAAGGACCCTGGTGTGCGAGGACCCGGATGTGTGCCGTTTCCCTCTGGCCACGTGGGCGCTGGGACTTACAAGGTGTTCAGGTTTCTCAGCTTCCTGAAGGCTCCGGGCGGGATCTCTCGGATTCGGTTGAAGCGCAGGTCCCTGCGAGGAGAGGAGACGAGGTGCGTTAGGGACACTCGGGCTCGCCCGGCGCTGCTCGTCTAAACATCCGTCAGGAACGTGAGGAAGTGCGCTGCCCGCGGTGAGACCGTCAGCCGGCACGTCGAGGGCTGCGGTTCGATTCCCAGCCCAGCACTGGGGTTGCAGGTTGGATCCCTGGCCTCGGCCAGGCGTATCCAGGAGGCAGCCAATCGGTGTCTCACATCGATGTTCCCTTTCTCTTCCCTCCCTCTCCGAGGGACACCCGCAGGGGAGGAGTAACAGAACCAACAGAACCAACAGAGATCGGGCACGCAGGAAGCGGCACCACGCAGTCCACCCCTCAGACGAATCCCTCACTGAGGCCACGTCACACAGGGCAGAGCGAGGTCGCCTTACAGGACTTCCAGCCATTATCCCGGGAGATGACACGACACGAACACCCCCACCCCCTCCGCCTCTGCTGGTTAACCCACTGGAAAGCTGATGTCAAATTTTGGGGAAATGAACACAGGCTCGCCCGCAGCTGCTCAGTCTGTGCACTGTGCGACCCCAGGGCTCCTGCACCCGTGTGACCCCAGGGCTCGCTCCAGGACGGTGCTGAGCTGGAGCCCTTGTTGGTGGCTAACTGTGCACAACGTTTCTGCGGTGAGCGTCTCGGAACCACGGAGCCCATTCAACCCGAGGGGGGAAGAGAAGGTCATGCCTGGTATCCACCTGCCGTTCCCAGCAGGTGTTTAGGAGGTTCCATCCTAACAGGTACGTGTCTCCTGAGCCTGTGGAGACCGGCGGTCGACTTTTCCGGGACAAAGGAAGGTCCTGAACTGCCCAGGACGGGCCAGAGCGCGTGGCGTGTGGACACTGAGTCGGACAGAACGCGGACGCTTGAGGGTCCTCCTCGGGCGGGGCGAGCGGGGCTCTGGCCCTGGGCCCTCGAGCCCCCAGCAGAGGCACGGACGTCTATGTTCCGCACACACACACTCACGCGCGCGCACACTCATGCATGCACACACACGCGCACACACTCACACACGCGCACGCACTCATGCATGCACACGCATGCACACACGCGCACACGCACACACTCATGAACGCACGCACACTCATGCACACGCACACACACTCACGCGCACACACACGCACACACGCACGTGCACGCACGCACACGCACGCACACGCACACACACATACGCTCATAGCAACATTGTAATTCATAAATTTATAAAAACTAGTAACAGCCCAAATGGCTATCAAATAATGAATGAACAAAATAAACACAATATGTCCACACAAGGGAATGCTACTCAGCAATCA